ACTGCCGCCTCCCCTCTAGCCTTGGGGGAGGGAGGGACAAAGAGGCCTCAGGCCCCAGCTCGGACTACATGTGGCTGCAGGCTGTGGCAGGCAGATCCCTCCACAGCCTAGAACTTTCAGCTTTGGAAAAGGAACCTACAGCTCAACCCAGAGAGCTAGGAGTGAGCTGCTGACAGATGTGGAGCCCACGTGCCCCTGGGCTAAAATGCAGGAATGGGGCCAGGGCCAGAAACTTGGAGGAGATGCTAGGAGATTGGATAGGGCTTGGACATCAGGTCTGGGAGCCAGAGCCACAGCCAGGTTCCCTTCCCATGGGAGAGCGGGTGGTAGGATGAGCCAGGCTGGTCTTCAGTCCCTGGTGACATGCCCTTGGTGGCAGCAGGCATTTCTATTCCTAGATAGAAACTGTTTTCAGTTGGGAACCCAACTGGAAGAGCACCAAGCCACTAATTCATACTAGGGTGTCAATGACTAAGGGTAGATTAACAGGACAGGACTTTACACGGGGACAAATCTTGGTTCAGACAACACATTATCCCAGGAAAACCAATCTTAAGTGAAATGAATTTTAGTTTTAAATATATGAGTATATGTGTGTATGCACGTGTGTAGAGAAGACTGAAAGAGAGTTACCTATCTGGCGTCTTTCCAAGGTCCCAAGAGTTCCTCAGCCTTAGCATGTGCAGACCCAGTTCGGAATCTACTCTCTTCCCAAGCCAGAATCTACTCCCTGTGGAATCTCTCAGCACTCCCACATGTACAGGCAGAAACCCACCCCTCAGCCCACCCCTCTCCCTGTCCTATCTTTCATTAACCCCCAAGCATTCACGTCCTAAATTACACATCTGCCTACTTCTCCCCTGAATGGTGCAATGTTGAGTTGCCCATGCAGCCAGCCCCCACCAAGAGCAGGGCATGGACACTGAAGCCACAGCTTTGCAAATGGGCCCTCCTTTGCCACCCTCAGGCCCAGGGGTACACACTCTGGTGAGAGTCCTTGCTCAGAGGGACACCCTGAAGAAGAGCCCCCACCCCACCCCCGGGATCAAATGCCTGTGGAGGAGGCCCAGGCAAGTGCCCTTGACTCACAGATTCTTCCTATTGGGAGAGGCATGGACCAAGGTAGACCAGAGTGGGGTGCTCAAAAGCGTGAAGCCCAGGGGAGGGCCCCACGGTGGCTCTATCTCCCCATCTACTCTGACCTCCCCCTCCCAGGCCCCGCAGCCACCCCTCTATTAAACCAGCAAAGGGAGCTTTTACAAATCAATGGGCTCATGTTACACTCCCCCACTTTAATCGTTTCAGTGGGTCCCCACGGGTAAATGCAAGACTCAAGAGCTACCCCTCAGGCCTCAGGTCCAGTCCCTGCCAACCTTGTCTCTCTCCTGCCTCCCTGCTCTCCATCCCAGTCACACCAGCCTTTCTTCAGACCCAAACTAACTATGTTAAATGGGTGCCCCGCCCCTTGGCCTCAACTTCTGGCACGAGACACAGCTGGACTGCTCTTGTGAAGAAGCTGCTTCAACAACACAAGTCAGGAACTGGGCAAATCAGGAACAAGTCAGCTGCTGGGCAAATCAGGAACCTCAGAGAAAGGCCGGCTTCAAGGTTTACATGGGCTTGCTAAGACTCCCACTTCCCAGAAGATACAGCTCTAAATAGATAGCGTAAATTTTAACCATGCTCTTTGTTCTCCATCAGATGGTTGCATTAACCTGCCACCTGCCACCTGCCTGGATTCTTGAAATGTTTCCCTTGCAAATTGTACAAAATCCTCAGTGAGAAACTAGAGTTCGGGCAGCTTTCCCAGAGCTCTCTGGAGGTTGTTCCTGAGCTCAAGTCCTTTGTCTTGGTTCTTTAATAAACTCACTTACTTTTGCTTGCCTCAATTTGTCTAAACCAACATGGTTGTGTTGCCCCAACCACCACTGGCCTTAGCACAGGCTGTTCTCTCTGCCTCAATGTTCTTCCCACTCAACCTGGCCTGATTCATTCCTCTAGTGTAACTTCTGCATAAAGCCTGGGATTTCCCTGCCTTGATCAGTCCGCCAGACACAGGTTCTCAGAGCCATCTCTCATCATTGCAGACACTTGGGAGGTGACAACATTTGCTTATGTGATTTGATGAACACAAGTTTCCCTCTGCTAGAATGAGGGTTCATGGGGACAGGCCTGCAGCTTGGAGCAAAAGGCAACCACTGACATTCATGAAGTATTTCCCACGTACCAGGCACATACCATGTGTTTTCCATGAATTATCCGGTCGAATCACCTTGATAACACTATGAGACAGATGCTGCTATTAGGTCCATTTTGCAGATGAAAAAACTGAGGCACACAGGGTTGAGAAACTTGCCAGCATCACATATAGGCAGTAGAGTGCGGATTCAACCAAGGCCAGGGTGCCCTGGGGTCCCCAGCTTGCCTCTCATGGCTGCCCCTCTCTCAGCATCTCAGCTAATGATGCACACACCCCAGGAATAGTTCTCAAACCGAAAGGCACTCACACAGCCCAGAACACACACCAGGATGAGAACAGATGTGGCTTGTAGTTGTTGGGATTATGGATGTTAATTTTCATCTTTTACTTGTATGTTCCAATTTTCCTTTACAAGTATTTGTTGGTGCCTTTAAATTAAAAAAGACAGCCTTAAAATGTCTTTAATCTTCTAAAAAGAAGGAAGGATGGATCAAAATCAAGATGGCCAAAGAAATGACGGCATGCCGTTCTCCACCCTCCGTGAGGGAAGGCCCTACTCTAGCAGAAGATGCAAAGCCTCAAGCTGCACAGGCAGCGCCGTGGGGCTGTGGTAAGAATGTGGACACTTCAACAGGCCAGGGTCTGAGTCTTGGTTCTGTGTGACTGCGAGTCGGTTTCTTAGCCTCTTTGATCTCCGGTGACTTCCTGACCTCTGACCTCTGTAAACTAGGGTCCAGCAAACTTTAGCCCTTACAGGGTCATTGTGAAAGAAGGAATGGGGGGGGGGGCATGGACTGTCCAGGATCCCAAGTTCCCACCCCCAGAAACAGCCACACCCAGTCACTGACTCTCCTCCTGGGAGCCGCGCTCTGCCTGCCGGCCCTGGCAGCCACCCTGGGTCTCCCGCTTGGCTGGCCGGCCAGGGATCTGGGCAGCCTGAGATGCTCCTGGGCAAGCCACGTGTGGGAACCCAAGGAGAGGCCACCCAAATGGTGGTTTTCATGCCTGTAGTCACCCCAGGGTGGCCAGAGGACACAACACTCCCGCCCACCCTTGCCACCCCCAGGAGGACAGAAGGAGAAGTTTGTTCGCCCAGGTAGAAATCCTGAATCAGCTTCCGAGGCTGCGGCTTGGAGATCATCTAGGGGTCCCCTGGGGAGGCACCGGGGAGAAAGGCAGAGCGGGCAGAGGGGAAGGGAGAGAGAGACAGAGAGCGGCCGCCTGGAGGTCCCTGTGGCTCGTCTGGTATTTACTTTCTGCCACAGCCTTGAATACCATCGGGCTCTGAAGGAATTTCCAAGAAGATCGAAATTTGAGGAAATCAAAGTTTAATTAGTCACAGCTGCTGTAATGTGTTCCAGGTGATGGCTGGTAGGGCCGCGTCTCCGCTCCGGCCCCCAACGCCTCTCACCCTCCACGGGGCAAGTAAACAGCGGAGTGTTTGCTGGGGGAGCCCTTCCCCAGGGTCGGCGGAGGAGGGTCAGGAGGAGGCACAGGGCCGAGCCACCTAGACAGACCTCGGAAGGAGCGCCAGGGAGGTCTCGCCTTCTCTCAGCTCCCGGCTCAGCTCCCACTTGGCTCTTTGCCAGTGATGGCAGAGGCCGCAGAATGCTAGACCTTGGACAAGTCATTCAACTGGGAAATGCTAAAACCTCCAGGAGCCAGAGGGCCTCGGTGGCAGCTCTGCCTCCGCCATTCTGCTCTGTGGCCTCAGGAAATTTGCTAACCCTCTCCGAGTTTCAGCTGTCCCACCTCCAAAATGGATTAGGATACAGCACTGGCTCAGAGGGTTACTGTAAAAGTTCAACAAGTCACATGAGTGAAGTAACATACACGACAGGCGTCGGCACAGAGCCGATACCACAAGAACTGTGTCAGGAACCACAGCAGGCCGTTCAGTTTCCCTCTCACCAAACCAGAATGGGTTCCAGTGCAATCGTAGACAAACACAGGCTCCCAGCTCCTCAAAACAAAGCCAACCCGACAGGCATGCTGGGATTGACCCATCAGAGTAGTCTTCAAAGGGGATCAGCTGACACCCCTGGACCAGCTAGATTCCCGGAGTCCAGCTCTAGGGGTGGGTTTGGAGGTGGAGTTGATAGGGTGGGGAGCAGGTCCAGGCAACGTGGCTTGTCTGAGGCTCAGCCCTCTCTGGGTCGATGCTGCATGGAACCAGGCCCCGCCTCCTTGCAGGAGCCGCACTGATGTGGCCAACCCTGGAACTCCTTCCTCCCATCACTGCATCAGTCCTGCTTTTGTTCAGGTTAGGGGACAGAGACAGGGGCTTACCTTCCACCCCACGCTGCCCCCACTAAGGCCTTACTCCATCCTGTGCTTGGGGGCTCCAGTTTCCTAGAACATCAAAAGGGGCTGTCCCCGAGGACACGGAGGTCACCCTACCAACTGGCTGGTCAGTGGGTAATGCCCCTGCTTTTATCCATGGGCCACCACCCAGTGCAGTGGCCTCAGAGGTGCTGTGCCCACTCAGCTGCCTATAGCCATAACAGACAGTTCCCTTGGGAGTGACCCCTTATGCCAATGTGGTCTCCAAATCAGCCCCTGCCCCTCTCCCCACCAACCTCTTTCCCTGTTTCTCTAATTTTTTTTCCTAGTCCTGAATGTCATTTTTAGTCTAAGTTTTTGAAACTCAAAGGCAAGAATTCATTCCTTTTCTCTCCGCATTTCTGCTCCATCACCCCTTCCCTGAGGCAATGAACAGAAAGGTCCAACCAGTGAGAAGAAGGGGGGCGGCGGGGGTGGGGGGGGGGTAGCAGGAAACACCAGAAACCAAAACCTCTCAGTTAAGTTCAAAAACAGCATCTCGCCTGATAGCAGAGTGAGCTTGTGTGTAGGTCCCAAAACACAGCCTCCAGGCGGGTCTAAGTGGCCATGTTGTATGCGGAATGTTTTCCTTGAATGAATGTGTTACTCCTGGAGGCTGTCATTTGTCCAGCACGCACCTGCCTCTTACCTTGCCGTGGTCATTCAGGAGTGAGGGGAGACTGTGGCTGGTGCGACTTTGCTCTTCAGTTGACCTGCTTCTACCTGAGAGGCTGGAAATGCCAGCTGGTCACTTTCCTGGCATTCCTTGCAGCTGGAGGCATCCTGTGATTCGATTCCAGCCAATAGGACCTGAGAGGTCGTCTCTGGTGTAAAAAGAAAAGTAGTTGAGGAGAAAGCCTCCCTCCTGCTCCGGGAGGATCCGTGAGGCCTGTAGCTGTGGCCGCCATCTTGTGACCAAACAGGACCTGTGAGGACAGAAGCCAACAATGAGGTTGGCAGAAAAAAACAGAAAGAACCTGGGCCCCCGGGGATACCCTTGTGCCTCCTGTGATCCGCCTCCACACTTCCAACAGGAAGAAGATAAGGAAGCCTCTTTAAGTTCGGGTCCCACCACTTATGGCCCAAAGCAGCCCAACTCATGCTGAGAGAGCTTCAGAACCTGTGGGCCTGTGCTGGTCAGTTGTGAGTGGCCACAGAAATCCAACTTAAACTTGTTTATGCGAACAGGGCAGTTGTTAAAATTAACACATGTGGGTGTCTTGTGAAGCTCAACAGAAGTGTGACTGGGCCTCAGAACAGTGCTATCCAGGCAAAGTTTTTTCTCTTCCTCTCATACCATGTCTCACCTTCTGAAGTAATGCGTCCTTGATGGTTTATCACAACAGTCTGGTTGTACGAAACTGATTATGTTTTCATTTTATTCTGATACACCTTTAGGAAAAAAGATGAGCATGGGCTTTTTTAACTTACGTTGTGGAAGGACTTTTTTTTTTAGACTGATGTCAATAATTTGCCTCTCTGGTGCTAAGTGTGTACCCACGAGGCCTCATGGACTGGAAAAAGAGTTTCCTTTTTTGAATGTTGATCGTGTCACACTCGGGTGTGTTGAGTGTGGCTAATGGCAAGAAACCTTCTGGTGACAACAGGGGAGAAAGCGCACTCTCCCCATGTCTGGTGAGGAATCCAGCCCCTCAGATGCCCATCTGCCTTCGAGCTCACCTCCCTGGGGGAGACATTGTCTTCTGATAAGAGGAAACCTCTCCGCAAAGAACCCGCTACTGCACTTTCCTCAAATGAGTTCAATATTTGGTTTCAGATCCTCCATGAGATGCCAACACAAGGGCCTTCAAAACCTTGGAAACTCCATGAGCCTATAAACTCACATTCTGAGTGTTGTGTCAGTGACTAGAGGTCATAGGGTTTTGTTTTTTTTTTTTTAAATGTCTACTGTTTACATGTTTAGAAGCAAGAGATCAGGTTTTGAAAAATAAAAAAAATGGTAAGAATAGCACAACCTAGTGTGAAAGGTAGATGGTTACAACGGACCCTATCTGTCGGATGCTGGTGGTCTGGGGATTTGTGTGTTTAAAAATCTTCTCTGGTGACTCTGGAGCAGAAGGAACCCCAGCAGAGTGTGTGAGTCCCCTGAGAAGAGCCACGTCTTGTGTGTCACGACTGGCGCATGGTAGGTGTTTAGTAAATGTCCCTTGAATCAATGAATTAGAGAGAGCAGAGGTTGGAAAGCAGAAGTCAAGAAAAGTTTCTCGGGTGGGGGGGGGGAATCTTTCCCAGCCATAAAGTGCCAAAGAAGCTGCTTCACTGTGTCTTGAGGCATGGGTCCCCTCAAAATGGGGGGTGGGTGGGAATAAGGGGGTTGAGATGGGTTGGATAAGAGCTCAGTGGGTATCAGGGTCCTGTCAGGGGTGCTGACCTGCAGCCAGATCTGGGCCCAGACAGAGAAAGGCTTCTCGGAACCCTCCCACCGCTGGGAGGCTCAGCCGCCCTGCACCAGGCCCGCAGAGAAAACACATTTGTTTACTTGACCTGAATGACACATCCATTGATTTCTCTGGAGCGGTTCATTCATAAGGGCAAATTGAGCCCCTCTCCTGGGGATGCCAACGGCCTTTTAACAAGCTCCCCAAGGGGTAACTTCTGAAAATGAGTCGCTGATGAGCCAGAAATGGAGTTTGCCTGCTCAGCCTGGCCCTGCAGGCCCAAGGCTGCCGAGCTGCAGGGCAGGCGGGAGGTGTCATCTCATGACTGGGGGCCTGGCCTGGCACAGCAGCCTGCAGGCTCTTCAAGGCACAATACACCCTGTGCTCCACACTCAAGAGCTGGGACAAAGCAAAAGGGATTGGCTTGCTCGAATTTTCTGGATCTCCCACTGCAGTTAGCCAAGTAGATAAATGTGATGGGGGCAATGGACAGAGGAGTGTCTTCAGCAGAAACACCATGCTTGCTTTTTTGATGCTAAGAATTGCCGTTTGTGCCACCACCAGCTGCTCACAGAATGCTGTTGCTCCTTGGCTTCAAATCTCTTATCTTATGATTAAGGAAACAGAGGCCCAGAGAAGAGAAGTGAGCTGCCTGAGGTCACACAGCCAGGTGTCCTTTTAATAGGGATTTGCAGTCCCCAAACAGGCACTCTGACATCTTTCATCTCGGCCGAGTCCTGACAACAAACATATGGGCTAGGTATTGCTACCCATCATTTATTTAATTGTAAAATTATTTCCTGTTATTTTTAACCTTGCCCTTTTTCTCTCTCCACATTCTATTTTAAGAAGTATTACATTTTCTTTTATCTTGCCAGATGACGTGGCTGTGGCTGGTCCTCAGATGGCATCTGGGATCCACAGCTCCCAGAAGTTTTGCTTTGATTCCTCTCCTGCTTCGTGTTTCCCCTCACGGCTTCCTTTTCTCCCTTACCCTTTTCTTTCTCCTCCACTTTTGCTTATTTTCCTCTCCCTTCTCCTTTCTCCTGTTTTACCTTCAGGGCTAGCACAGAGACAAAATTAATATGAATTCTAGTTCTTGTCTTCCTCCAGTTTGCTGGGAGGTCCAGGACAAGCCCCTTCTTTCTCTCTGGGTTCCAGTTTTCCCATCTGGAAAACAAGAGCTTGCTCCTGGAAGTGTTTCCAGTTTGGACAGCCTGACACGCTCCACTCTGTGCTCTGTGGACTCACAACTGAAAGAAATACATTTTCCACTTGCTGAGCTGCTGGCTGAAGTCTTAGCCAGAGAAATCGAGGTGCATTAGCAAGAAGTCACACCGAAGGGGACAGACTGGGGCTCATTCCCACTGGAGAGGCCACCTGGGGTCCCACCCGTGGTCCATCCAGATGAGACTCAGCTGGGGAGTGTCACCCTTCCACCAGCTGTCACTCAGGATGATGGGCGTCTCACTCTGCGCTCTGCTTATGGTGGGTGACATGGCTGTCACGATCGATTCAGCATGATTGAGAGAGAAGCGTCTTATTTCCTCTTAGGGACTTTGCCAGCAATTAAGATGTGTAGCCAGCAGGTGAGTGATGGAAATTTGGTAATGGTCTCAGCCTTTTATGCTCCATTATTCTTTTGGGGGGGGGGAGGGGCAATGATATTAAGATTATTAAATAAATTATTTTAAAAAATTAAAGAGTTTGAAAAGATCAAGATCTTTAGTGAAAATAACTCATAAGCCTCAAGGTCTCCTTTCTCAAGACACTCATTTCACGGTGCTCTCTCTAACCCTGCCTTTAGCTACAGATTTGTCCAAACACTTCTTCCAGCTTCCTCTGGATTAACTTTTAAGCAGCAAGAGTTCCAGGATCATATGTGTCCTAGGACTCAAGGACTTCAGGGAATGGGTATTTAAAAACCCTTGTCTTTGGTCTCTCTGACAACAGGAAGATGAGTGTCTGCTTTTGGCTAATCGCAAAACAGAGCTTATTGGCCTTCAGAAAAATATCAGATGGCTGGAAGGTGTTGTATTGGTTTCCTATTGATGATGTAACAAATGACCACAAAGGCAGTGAGTGAAACAACACAAATGCATTATCTTACAGTCCTGGAGGTCAAAAGTCTGCGCTTAGAGCTCTGTATGTTGACAGTGCTGTGTTCCTGCCTCAGTCTTGAGGGGGAAAACCTGTTCCTTACCTTTTTTCAGCTTCTAGAAACTGCCCACATTCCTTGGATTGTGGCCTTTTCCGTCCCCAGAGTCTACAATCTTGTCGCTGTGACTCTGAGTCTGCCAGCACATCTCCTCCCCTGGTGTCACTCTCCCGCCTCCAGCTTTGGATGACGACATCACTTGTGATTGCATCAGATTGACTGAGAGAGCCCAGGATAATGTCCCCATCTAAAAATATTTAAATGAATAATTTAATTAATTTATTTTAAGAAATTAATTAGAAATAATTATTTGCTTCAGATTAGTTATGTGATTAATTAATCAGCGAAGTCCCCTTTGCCATGTCAGATCACATGGTCACAGATTATCTGACTAGAACATGCAGGCAGTCTCTTTGGGGTACCATTATTCTGCACCCCAACAGATAGTTTTTTACATCAGGAAAACCAAGGCGATAGATTACAAAGGCAACCACAGAGTCTTCGGCTCCCTATATTCAAGCCACTTTTCATGGCAAGATTTTGCAACTCCTTCCACCAGGAGGTTGAGACTATTTCTTTATTTTTAATTTGGCCTTTGTCATGTGACTTTCTTTGGTCACAGGATATTAGCAAATGTGATGCAAGCAAAGGCATCGGTACTTGTTTTCTCTGGCTTCTCCTGGGGGCTCCATGACCATATCCATGTTAACAAGCTCTAGGTAGTTGCTGGGTGATGAGACACAGCCCATTGTCACCCCAGCCAACAGCCAACCATGCACCAGACCAGCAGGATGATTGCCTGTTGCCTGACAGAACACACAAATGAGCTCAGTTGAGACTAATTATAAGAACAGCCCAGCTGGTCCCAGCCCAACTTGCTAAATCACAGAATCCTGAGCGAATAGATGTCTGTTTTAAGTCACCATATTTTAGTTGTTACACAGCAAATACTAACTGATGCAACTAGTGACCCACTTTTGACCAAGCAGATAAGGGCTTTTCAAGTATGCTATCTCACATCAAACATTTCTCCTGGTTCTGATGGACACTTCCAGAGAAATTCTTGTTAACTGAACTTTACATCTTACCATGATGTACAGAAACATTTCCAGTGACCAGTAAAAAATATAACAGAAGCGCTTTAACAAAATTTAACAAAGTATCTCAAGTCTTCTTTTCTCTATTAGATTCAAGGTCTTTCTTAGTGAGCAGAAACTCAAGCTGGCAGATAGCGCTTAAGAGCTTGGATTCGGGAGGCACAACTACCTGAGTTCAAATGCTGACTTTACCTGCTAATTATAAGAACTTAGGCAAGTTTCTTAGCATCTCTATGACTCATTTTTCTCACCTATAATATGGAGATAATGAAAGCACCTATCACATAGGATTGTTATAAGAAATACATCCAAAAATATGTGTAAGTACTTTGAAGAATATCAGGCACAAGCACTCAAAAGTATTAGCGATTAGCATTACATGGGACAAAGCAAATAGTAGGTGCTCAATAAAGACTCGTCCATTTGATTTGAGTCAGATTTGAGGTACATGGTTCTGAAAGAAGTAAGTTTCTCAGGTCCCAATTTTAGGCAAACTTCAGTTCCTTGGGGAGAGTGAGGAATCCTGGGATATTAAGGGTTAAAGAAGTTTCACACAAGCAAAGAGCTTTCCAGAGACAAAGCAAAACAAGTATCCAACAGCATTTGGAATGAATGAGCAATGCAATAACATGCTAAGAAGTATCCCAGGGATGAGAATGTGGGAGCTCCTAGGAGAGAGAATTACCCAGCCCATGAGATGAGAAGACTTCAGCATCAGTGTTGGGGAGTGACACCTCCAAGTGGATGCAAATCCAGACATCCAAGGGACCCACATACTCACTGATTAGTTGGAATATGGAGTATGTGAGCAGGGAGGAGACAAAGGTAGAGCAGGGCCAGATCATGATTTGACAATTTCCTGTGTTTTATTTATTCATTGGGCCTCCAAAAATAGCCAAGCATGTCAGCCAGGGAGGCCGTCTAAAGAGGCCCCTGGCAGCGGGGAGGGAATGGCAGGAACGGGACCTGGCCCCCAGCCTGGCACAGCACCCAGAGGACCACAGCACCCTGGCACCTCTCTCCTCTCCCCTCCTGCTCACAAAACCCTGGAGAGCACATGGTGAAGGGACCTCTAGGTGTTCAAACCCCCCTCGCCACCCTGTAGGGTCAGCCAGAAACTTGCTGGAGCATCCGTCCCGTGGCTCGTGACATTCATTGCTTCACCTTCCTCAGCGTCTACCAGCTCCCTCCCTCTTAATCCACCTTTAAAATCTGACCATCAATTCTCAACCACCCACCTCCACTGCCCCATCCCACACCCTCAACCCCTCCTGAGACACTTACATCAGCTTAAAAAGAGAGCTGGGCAATCCTGATGGAAGAAAACATCATCCACTCCACCCCAGGCCTGGGGGAAATGTGGACGGCACCCTTGTCCCTCGACGAGCCCCGTCCCGCCTTCTCTGTCTGCCTGTCTTGATGCAGACAACCCCGGCTTTGCTTGGTTCAAGTCCCAGCTCCTCCACCTCCGGCTGTGTGCCTCTGGACAAATCACCTGATTTCTCCAGCTAGATCAGTGTCCTGATCTAAAAAAAATGGGAGGAATAGTTGCCCAATGCTTCTGCAAAGATTGAATGGGAAAATAAAGGGGAAAGCCCGGGAAGTAATGAAGGCACAGTGAACACGAGGGCTGGTGATGCCCCGCGTATTCCCTCCCCTGATTCCCCTTTTCTGAACCCCTGCCTCACGCCGGGGAGCCAGCCTCCCGCGGTCCCGCCTGGAGGCCCCTCGCACCTTCCTTCACCTCCCTGCCCTGACTGGCCGGTCCACTGCTTCAGGGGCTGCCTGGCCAGGGGGCCCACTTCTTGCCTCCTGCCAGAGGGGCCTTGAGTGTTGAAATCCTTCCATTCCACAAGGCAGAAACTTGATTATGTTATTAATTAAAGCAAGATGCCGGGCCTGGGAGATTTATTTTCTTTTCCATATCTGTGGCCATAAATGCCACTCAGGGAGCTCAAAGGCCCATGTCAGCCCGAATCAGGCTCCTGAACAGACGTTTTGTTTCCAGTCGGGTCTCCTCGGCCCCTCCTCCTCGGTGCCAGGAAGGAAGTGTGTGTTGTGATACCCACCCCTCACCCCAATTTCCCTTGCTGCATCTGCACGAGGCAAAAAGGGGGGAAATACCTGGGCAGTGTGGCATGGGGAGGAAATTTTCCAAGAAATTTGTTTTAAGTTTCTGCCTCATCATTATAGGACTTTCACGTTTCTATTTTTAGCTGCACAAATGAGCCAGCCGGCATTCCCCTCATCTCCCCTGCCCCAGCCTTTATTTATACAAAGCACATGCTGAAATCATTATTTAAAAACCTCCAAACCCATAATTGCTCAGGTAGGTGAAGAATGCAGCCTTTATGGATGTAGCTCGCAGAGGGGGCCGGAGCGTTCCTGGGGAACTGCGGCTTATTCATGTTTGCGCCCCCCTGCCCGAGCCCACGCTGAAGCCCTGGACGGGCCTGTAGAATCAAGTAACTCAGAGCAAGAAGAGGCACGAGGGGTTAGAAAGCCCCAGGACTACATTTCAGAAGAGGAAAGAGAGACAGAGTGCAGGTGAGCGGATCCAGAGGTCCACATCAAACCCAGACACCCCACATCCCGCGTGGAACATTTCATTCCACTCTGCTGTGAAAATCGGTGTAAAATTGAACTGTCTGAGGCCACTCCCCTGAGACAGTTACCAACGGTAAGACCGTTAGTGAGTTAGTGGACCCCTCTGTACTGCAATGTCCTCATCTGTAAAGTGGGGGTGACAGAAATGCCCACCTGGTAACACGGGTGTAAGGATCCAGGTGCCTGGAAGAAGCTAAGTCTGTTTTTGTTCTGGTTTCCCCAGAAAGTCTTTTTTCCACCCCCGGGCCATTTCTTGTCCCTGGGCTCTGCCCCTCTCCGAGGACACCCCACTCTCTTTCAGGTCACCCCTGAATGGGGCAGCCAGTGTCCAGGCTTGGCCAGTACCATATATTGCTTCCATTCTCCTGTGATCCAGGCCTAAAGAAGCCCCCCCCGGGGCCATACTTAGGGTCTGAGGAAGAGCATTGAGGAAGAGGTCAGTGGTGGAGTCTGCTTCGCTACCTGCTCATGTCTTTTTCTTGTGCTTTCTGGACCTGCTCGGGCCATTCCCATCATACAACTGGCAGCATCCTAAGTAGCGTTTGTCTTGGTGCCTCTGACCAAACAGAGCTGGTGATGGACAGGAGCGCCGGCCACAGAGTCCTGATGACTTCTGGGCAAATACCCAGCCTCTGTGAGGGCTCAGGCTCATGCCAGGAGCTGCTCTGGCAAGGGCACAGCCCCCACGGAGCCCGGGGGATGGGCAGACACTGCCCCATGCCCTGATCTCCCCAGTGCTGCTCACCCCAGCAAGTCGCTGCACATCTGGTTGAAGGGGACACAGCTGCCTGCACCTCAGCCGGGGCAGACCTCCTGTGGGCACCGGGAATTTTGCCTTTGTGGGCCTTTCTTTCATAAATCTTTCAAATGACATTTTATGACTCCACTGGTATAAAGATGGCGATCATCTAGGCTGGATTCATTGTCGTTATGTTCACTTTTTCCTTTGATTTTTAAATAACTTAAAGTTGCATTTTTGTGGGTGCTAAAAAGTAGTGTGGGTCTGCAGTGCTGTACCTAGTGAATAAGCAGGCCCTGCAGTGCCCAGCCTGGATCCCTGCAGAGCTCTCCCTGGCTCTGGCCCCCTCAAAACCAGCAGCCTTCAAAGTCATCAAATGAATGTAGCAGAGTCAGATTAACAAGTGTGGCAAATGATGCCTCCAAGATCCACAGGGCCCCGCAGGCATATGTCCAAGTCTTAGAGGTTAAGATGTATAAGGCACAGCAATCTGGCCTTTCAAGCTGTACCAGCGTACCCCCAAGCCCCCAACTACACCAATGTGGCAGGCCCCTCGCCTCTGCGGGATGACCTCCCACTTGTGGAACATTTATCTTTCTGTATGTGTCTCCTTCCTGCTCACTGGGCCCATCAGCACAATATCCTCAGTATATGGGCCAGCAAAGTGTGCGGCTAAGACTCTAAGAGCCCATGGACTGTCATGTCAGAAGCAGGAGAACTGATGCCAGAGAGCCCTGCCGTGTGAAAGCTGGTGGTTTCTATCTTCTCTGCTGATAGGAACCAAGAGAAACAGAGACACCAGATTAATAGTCACACTCTAAGTCCCAGAGGCTGAGTTCATCTGCTCAAGCCTCTTTCTCTCTCTCTCTCCTTCCATAATTGACAGTAACACCCACTGCTTTCAGTGTACAGCATGATTTGATGTATGTAACTATTCTAAAATGATCACAATAGGTTAACACCCGTCACCATATGCAGTTGCCATTTTCTTTCTTGTGACAAGAACTTTAAGATCTACTCTTTTAGCAACTTTCCAATAAGAAATACAGAATTATTGAGTATTGGCACTGCGTTGTACACTACAACAAATTGGAATTTGTTCTTTTTGGCCACCTTCCTTCATTTTTCTCTTCTCCTACCCCCTACCTCTGGCAATCATCAATTTGTTGTCTATGTCTGAATTCAGGTTTTTTGTTTTGTTTTGTTTTTTAGATTCTACATATAAATGAAATCATGGCATTTATCCTTCTCTGTCTGTCTTGTTTCACTTAGCATAATGCCCTCAAGGTCCATCCATGCTATTGCTAATGGCAGGATTTCCTTCTTTATTATGGCTGAGTAATACTTCATTGCACACACAGTCATACATAACTTACTGAAGTTTGGGACAACCATGCACCCACATACAGACAAGGGGTCCTACAGACCACACCATACAGCTAAGTGCACAATAGGTTTGTGTAATTACACTCTAATATGTTTGCACAAAAAAGTCGCTCAACAGTGCATTTCTCACTATGTTTCCTTGGCATTAAATGAACTCTAAATGTATGTATACGTTTTCTTTTTCCATACCTTGCCTACTGTAAATAACATTGCAATGATTATGGGGATGCAGACTGCAGATATCTTTTTGAGGCAGTGATTTTGTCTCCTTTGGTTTAGCTTGAAATTGGGCGAGGGGGCACCTCCATACTATTTTCCATAGTTGCTGCACTAATTTACATTCCCACCAACAGTGAGCAAGATTTCCCTTTTCACCACACCCTTGTCAACACTTGCTATTTCTTATCTTTTGATAACTGTCATTCAAACAGGTGCAAGATGATATCTCATTGTGGTTTTGATTCTACTTTCCTAATGATTAATAATGTTGAGCACTTTTTCATGTATCTGTTGGCCAGGTATATATCTTCTTCAGGAAAATATCTATTGCATGTATGAGATATATCTATACACACACAACTTATCAGATATATGATTTACAAATTCTTCCTCCCATTCTTTTTGTTTTTTAAAGATTCATTAATTTATTTATACAAGCACTGGGTACAGTCAGAAGTGCAGGAGGGTGAGAGAATTCACCAGAGCCAGAGCAGAGAGTAGAACAGGCAGACTCATGAAATACACTGCTGAGGGGAGCAGCGGGCGCAGCAGGAGAGGTCTGCGTGCCAGGTGGGACCCTCAGAGGCTGGCTGGGGATCGAACCGGCGCTGCAGAGGCTGCGGACAGCTTTGCAGCCCAACGCTCAACCAGTGCTCCATCGGGGAGGCCCTGCCTCCCATTCTTTAAAGTGCCTTTTCATTTTGTTGATGGTTTCCTTTTCTATACAGAAGTCCTTTTGTTGCTTTGATGTAGCTTCATATTTTTAAATTTTTGTTTTTGTTGCCCTTATCTTTTTGTTGGTGCCAGATTAAAGAAAAAAAAGTCATTGCCAAGGTCAATTATGAGGCGCTTACTCCCTAAGTTTCTAGGAGTTTTAGGGTTTCAGATCTTCTGTTCAAGTCTATAATCCATTTTGAGTTTACCGATATGTCCCGTTTTTCCCCACATCCTTTATTGACAAGACACTCCTTTCCCCCACTGTGTCTTCCTGGCACCTTCATTGTAAACCAGGCTCTCTTCTCATTGAACAGTCTCCCCTTCTGCAATCTCGCCCAGAACTGCAGCCTTCAAAGCCGATGATATACTGATGACTCCCAAGTGTTGTCTCTGGTCTTACTTTCCTCTGAATGTTCAATATCCAATGGTCTTCTGTCCAATAATCATTTGGATTTGTGATAAGGGTCTCACACAAGCCAAATCTATTCCTCCTTTTATCACTTCATCTTAATAAATGGCAATTCCAATCTTCTAAAAGCTCAAATCAAGAATCTTGGGGTCACATTTAATTCTTTCCTTTCCTTTCCCTCATCCTCCACACCCAATCCACTGACTTCACCTCAGTCAGACGCCACATCTACCTCCTTCTCCCCACTCCACGCCCTGGTCTCATCCACTGTAACTCTCACCTGGCTGGACTCTGCCTTTCTTTTCCTCCTGCTCCCCATACACACGCTCCATTTTTCATTCAGCAGTTTTGTGATTTTTTACATGTATTTTTAAAATATAATTCAAATCATGCTTAAAACCCTTCAGTGGCTCCCCATGTTACAAAGACTTAGACCCCAA